TTGATTGAGAGAGCATGGGCATATATTACCATAAGAAATTTAGGTTAGAAGGTAAGTAGAATTTTCCAGCACTGGATTTGCTAACAAGGAAGATTGTTAGATCTCCTGAATCTTTTCAAAAATAGAATATGGTCCATCTGGCAAGATTTGAGTACTACGCTACACAAAGGACAAGGAACATATTGTTCTTCTACCTTTTTGATTATATGCAAGTCTTTTTCTTTGTTTTTGGTTTTTGGAGGTTGTACCATGTCTGCCTTTGGCAAAGGATAAAAGGCAGCCAAGAGCATATGTATGTGAACAGGCATCCCCTAAAGGAGACAGCAAGCCTTGGTCTGAGTTGTCAAGCGTTGGTCTGCTAGCCCCTCCTGCACTTCCCTAGACAATGGGGGAATAAAGGATTTGAAATTCCCACACCAGGGGCATCTGCTCACTGCTTCCATATTACCTTTGCCTTGTTTCTATCTTTCAGTACCACCAGGGTCTGAAAACAACATCAATTATGCAGGCTAGTTTTTCCCTCTTTCATTAAATGAAAGAGGTTTCCTGCAGAACCTGTGAGTGTAGGTTTTGATAAGCAGCTAAGTCCTTGGACACTCATTAACATGAAGATTAATACTTTGGAGTTCTCTGGTAAATGTTTTCCTTAGGAGTGGGAAGGACTAGCCGGGGATTGCTGAACCTTAGGGAAGTGCTTCTCAAATTTTAACGTGCATACAGATTACTTAAAGATCTTATTAAAATGCAGATTTTTATTCACTAGGTGAGGACTGAGGTTCTGTGTGTTTAACAAGCTTGCAGGCCATGCCCTTGCTGTGGGTCCATGGACCACACTGACAGATACAGGGTTTGTCTATTTTCTGTCTGTCCCTCCTGCTTTTCCTCATATCTGTCCCATATAATCCTTCTTAGCAAGTACCATGTTTGTCCTTGGCAAACATCAGGATGATTGATTCTCCAAATCGTACATACTTAAGAAAGTATTTTTCAAATTATCTAATGAGACATTTAAATTATAACTGAGCTATCAAGCATCCCTCTATCCTATTTTCTCATGACTTTATTGCCTAACCCCACAAGTGACAAAGGAAATATATGATTAACACTTAACTAATTAATTATTTCTCATATATGCAAAAGGAAGTGCTCTATCTTCCATTGAAATGCTTATTCTGATATTCGTTGTTAAATTCCACATTCTTTGGACGCCTGCCAGGTTAACATATAAAACCTTCTTCTTTCCTCCTTACTTCCTTGTGTCTTTGTTCAGGACATGCATGTCATCAGCACAGATGAGAACCAAGTGTTCGCAGCGGTCCAAGAATGGAACCAAAACGACACGTACAACCTCTATATCTCAGACACCCGTGGTATCTACTTCACCCTGGCCTTGGAGAACGTCCAGAGCAGCAGAGGCCCCGAGGGCAATGTCATGATTGACCTCTATGAGGTATGTCACCAGGCGTGTGTGACCCTGAGCCGCAGCAGTGCCTGGACTGGCTGATGAAGACCCGGCACTGGCTGTTTCTCTCATCATTTTAATACTGGTTCTTTATGTGCCTTTTCCTCTTGGGAGATGGGGAGATTTGCAGAACATTTTTATTAGTTAATTTGCAAGCCACGAAACATCTCTGGAAGGGATTCTTTTTTGACCAAGCCCCAGAAGACTTGGAAACATCTGGGGAGGAAGGCAAACAAGTAAAGGGTTTGAAAAAGAGTGATATGCATGTGATATTTGAAAATAGTTTTGAAGGGCAGACAGGGTGTTGAGTAAAGGGGCGGTGGGCAGCCTTCCCTTATCTCTCTCAGAAGAAAGAATGACAGAATGACAGGGACAAGGGGCTTCCTTGCATTCCATCAG